AGGCGTGAGCCACCGCGCCCGGCCAACTTGTTTTAATTTTTAAACATATTCCTAAAGCCCTTTACATTCTTAAGAAATTTGAGAAAAGAAAAACTAGCCAGTTGTATTGGTGGCAATATATAGTGCTATAAAAGCCTTGAGTATCAAATACCTTCAAAGAAAAAATTTACAAAATAAACTTAATCTAAATATATACTTAATTTTGACTGTAAAAGTCATTGTTCAATAATGTATTCATTTTCTGTAAGTAATGAAAGAACAAAGCTAAATAAAGAAAAACAGCTATAGCAATAATCCTATTTTCAGATTTATATGTATAAAAAAATGGTTTTCTTGTATAGGCTTTTAAATTCTTGATTTTTATGATATAAGTAATAGATGCTCAATGTGAAAAACCAGAATATATAACTTACCAAAGAAAAGCACCTTCCCTACAATCCAACTCTTAAAAAAAAATTAACACTTTGGTATGTATCTAGGTTTTTTAACATGTGTATTACTCCAGATTGTTTCACAATTTTTATAGGTCTATACTTTTCAAATAAAATAGGCTACTACACATACTGATTTGCAACTTTTTTTCATTTAAGAGCTCAAATATCTTTCCAAGTCAGTACATAGAGATTTACTTCATTCTTTAACAATACTGCATAGTATTCTACTATATAGGGATACCATAATTTTTCTTCTTCTACCATAATTTAACTAATACTCTACATAGGCATATTTATAGTTTTGCAAGGAACATCCCTGAACACATATTACACAGTTATTAGCATTTCTGTGGAATACATTTCTCAGATGGGTTGAAGAACACACATTTTTTATTTTAAGAGATGTCAAATTGCCCCTTGAACAACTGAGGTATACCTGCTAAAAGATGTTTTGGAAGACAAAGATAAAGTCCTAAGCTGAACTGACTATGCAGACCCACAGATAAATGGAGGTGGAGGGGAGAAGATATCATTAAATTTACTTGAAAAACCACTGAAAGAATAAAATCAGCATACCAACGCTGATTGCTTTTTGTAGAAGAATGAAGCTATTAGAACTTTGAACTTTTCTTGGTAACTCTCACAGATTTTACAGATTCAAAATCTCATTGCTAAAAGCAGGGTGAATTACCTGGAGATGCTCCTCAGGCACTATAACTGGGCCACATTTTGTATGCACTGCACATTCTCCAGTACAGTATCTATGAGGATCATTTTCCTTCCGTAGGTATTGGTTTGTTGCACATTGTCTTCAGTTCATTTGTACATCAAAGTTTAATTACCAAAAAAAAAAAAAACCAGAATATTTTAGAGCAGTTAAAAACATGATAATCAACTGGTAGCTGCTATATAACTTCATTAATAATGATTACGATTTTAATTAGGAAAGTAGGCTAAAGAACTATTTTATGACTATAGGAAATCCTCCTGATCTAGGTTTTCAAACACCCAAGTACTTCATAAAGCCAATACTGTAGTCACATAAAGGAGGGATGAAGGGGGAGAGGGAAACAGAGGACAACTACACCCCTAAGAAAAGATCCAGTGGGCCACTGGGCCATCTTACAATGGAAAATCAAGGAAAGAATGATTATCCAGCAGGTGTTTTTTTATTATACTTTGCAGTTGGGTCTCTAAAGAGCAAGCATAATAAAATATTCTAGTATAAGTTTCATACTTTGCCATATTGGTAGAATGGGGAGGACAGAGTACTAAATGACTGAAGAAAATGATCTGTGTTTAATATGACATACCTGCTGAGTAAGATAGTGCCAGCAGGTCTACGAACCTGAAAAGTCTTCTCTAAATAAGAAATAGCTTGTGGGAAAAGTTTGT